CATATTGGGGGGTAATTGTTGACATACTAAAAGTGCAGCTCAAATCAAATAGCCCAAAGAGTGAAGCCCAATTGGGGAGTCCAGGATAAAGGTCCAAACAGAATTATTGATGAATGCAGTGGAAGTTCACGAACACAGTAACATCATCGCCTAAGCTTGCAAGACGCCCAGAATCTGAGCGAATGGAGTGCCTTACGGTCGACCAGAGCGATGACCCCATTCTCGCCCAAACCTTCGAATCGCCCACGATCTTAGCAAACATAAAATATTATGATTATCCAAAATAGCTGTTATTGAAGCAGTTATTGAATAATCTTATCACATTCCACGATTCAAGGAGCTCAGTTGAAGGCGATTGAACGACAAAGAGTAATGGCAGCAGTTGGAGACGACAGTTCCACGATAAGTTAGCCACCATAAAGAAAGTACGTAGTTATAAAGCGATCAAACAGTTTCCAAGCGGTTTGTTACGAGGAAATCATCAAGGGAATATAAAAAGGAAGAGAAGACATGAGAAGAAACCCCGAATTAAACACTCTCAAACAGAGAATATGTAATTTTAATTTTTTAGCTTAAATTTAAACACTTCTTTTAGTACTCATATACTTGAGCCCCTTGGAGACATTCTGTTTATTTCCAATTGTAAATCATCGCCAATAAAATACCCCTTTTGGGACTTTGTCTCAAGAGATTTTGTTCCTTACACAATCGTCTGATCTCTTTTCTAATTGTTGCCGACCACCTGCGCGAAACAAGTTCAAATGGATGCTATTAATGGAACACTAAAGTTGGGGTGGCGAATTGAATTGGCGATATGTAGTTGCTTAATTTGCCCTTGGGCACTGTTAGTGGGGCACAAATGGATTTAGTGGATGCTATTGTAGAGGGCGGGTCCTGTGGACAAACGAGACCTAAGCCTCGGGCCCAAAAGTTCTTGTCCTTTTTTTCCCCCTTAAAATATTAAAAGAAATAACCCTCTCGGCTCATGCGAGTTCCTCGACTGCCTACGACTCCAAGACTCCAGCCGGACCAGCGAGGCAGCGACCAGGTGACGGCAAGCATCTTCTTCTCTTCTTCTTCTGTTCCGGCGTTCCCTTTTTTCTTTAACGGCAGGCAGGCAGGCAGCTCTTCTCTTCTTCTACCCTTTTTTAAAATTTCACCCTGCAGATTGTTTACTCGTTCTGAAATATTTATAAAAAGAAATATATACCCTGTGTTGCGCATTGAATTGATTCAATTGAATTTGTGAAGCTCGTTTCTGTAAGTTTGAGCTTTTTGTTTATATTAAGTTAAATTAGATGTTGCAATATATATGTTCTTTTCATGTTGGAGTATGACATATATAAGAATTTCGTAATTAGAAATTAGGACCCTAGGCTAGTTGAGTTGAATTTTGTTATGATGGAAGCAAGGAGGAGGAAAATCAGTTGATTTGGGGAAGGCAGAACCAATTTTTGGAAAATATCGTCTCTGAATTCCCTCTCTCCTTCTTTTTCTGTTTTTTCTGTTTAATTGTTTCTTCTCTGTAATTGCATTCTGAAATTCTAATTGAAGAATTGGGTGTTCAGAATTTCCATTGGAATCTATTTGTGCTGTTGAAATTTACGAGTTTTGGTTGAAGATTTCAGCTCATCCATTACAAATTTTTCCTACAAAGTTAGAGAATTTGAGATTAAATTTGTGTTCACATCCATTATATTTTTTTGGGACAATTACAGCCCTTGATTTTCTATCTCAGTCAGTTAAGCTTGACTATTTTTCAAAGTTAAGTTTTCAAATTGTTTTAATCTATATGTTCATGATGAACTTTATGGTTGAGCTATTAAGGAATTTTGTGATCACATCCCTATATGTTAGGAATTTTTTTTTTTAGAATTGTAGAATTTGATGTTCTAAGAATTAAATCAATTGGTCACGTCTATTTTTTACTTTGAGCATAAAAACTGTGTAAGCTCAAGAAGTTATCATTGAAATTTGAAAAGCAATTGATTACTATTTTTTTCTTTAAGTTTGAAAAGCTCAAGATTTTTTTTTTTTGATTTCGTGGGATTTCTGATGAAATTGCAATTTGCAATAGGATTCTAAATTTTTGATGAATAGATTAATGCAATAGAATTGTATATTTGTATGAGGGTTTGATGTTAAATTTTTATTTCAGACTTGTGATTTGTGACGATGAAATTTTCAAAGGTGTGATTCCATAATTTTCGTCTAAATTCTACTTCTCAGGTAAGTCGTAAGCAATAGCTTGTCCTAACTTGTTATTGAATATTTGGAAATGTTTGAAACTTTGTCGGCTTATATAATTGCGGCCTGGTCGCCTTATGTGATTGATTATTATGAGATCAATTGCACAGGTGCATGTAGTACAAAATTCTAATTGTGAGATGATTGAGATTTTTGTAATTGTCTTTTACGTTAGTCATTGGATATTAGATATAGACTCATATACTATACCTCCTAAATATGAGTCTGGTGCTCAAAAGAGAAAAGGGAAACAAAATGAAATTGCATTAATTGTGAGATGATTGAGATATTTGTTTGTTGTTTTAATTTTAAGTTTTAAGTTAGCAATATATTATATAATACATAGTTGAATTTTGCATTTACGTTGATTTTGGGGGCCTAATTTTTGGGCTTCACCTCAAGCCTCGATAATCATAGGACCGGCTATTTGTAGATCTTATCCTTTGTTTGTAATCTATGCTTCAACATTCCCTTCAGTTAGTACTTTGATAATTGTCTTTACTTTATCTGCACTGAGTTTGTTTTATTTTATTAGTTGTATCAGTTATGAAAAAATTCTTTAAACTTAAATCTACATTGTCTTGTGATAAGCAAAATATTAATAAAAGGAATGCTCTAGATAAAAGGGATGAAATTGATGTTGGAAATAAAAATGATGACGGAATGAACGGAATGAACTTGATGTTGGAGATGTTCAAATTGAAAATAATGTCGAGATGTTAAGGATGAAAAGCTTGAACCTGATGTCGCACAACTTCCTTCGGATCCGGGGATGGAGAGTTCCAATACATAATTGTGATGCTAATGTTCGATTGCGTATATTGAGAAGGATGTATTCGACATTATTGAAAATGATGTAATTATGGAATGTTATTAAAGTATCGCGTAGAGAAAAATTTTAATAAGATATCGAATACACTAATTTTTTCTTAACTTTTTTATGAATTTGATTGTGCCCACTAACTTTAAATATATGCATCCGCCACTGAGCCTCTTTTCAGTAACTGAAACTTTCTACTCCAAAACCCAACTATTACACAACAAATTAATCAACATTTTTTTTTCATCAAATTAAAGAATTTCATTGCATTCAATACTCGAATTAAAATTCTCGTTTATGCCTACATGAAGAATTTCCAATTTCATGGCATTCCTTGATATATGTTCGATGAAAGTCTCTAAGACTTCATGCTAAAGTGTAGGTACTTGATCTAAAGCTAAGTGTTGACATGATTATTCGCAACCTCCAAGCAACTTCTCCGTGGAATGAATTTCTCAAGTCGTGCGGAATTCAAGTTGCGCCTTCTCTGATATTCAGTATGACATTCTTTTCCTTCGTTTCGATTTTCGATCTTGCTTTGAATGTTGAAATCACTTAATAGCTAGCAATTTTTTTTTTTGGGTGGGGGTGGGGGTGGGGGGAGTTGACATGATTATTCGCAACCTCCAAGCAACTTCTCCGTGGAATGAATTTCTCAAGTCGTGCGGAATTCAAGTTGCGCCTTCTCTGATATTCAGTATGACATTCTTTTCCTTCGTTTCGATTTTCGATCTTGCTTTGAATGTTGAAATCACTTAATAGCTAGCAATTTTTTTTTTTGGGTGGGGGTGGGGGGGGGGGGAGGTGAGCACTTTTGAGTAAAGGGAATTTTTCATTTGTTTCAGGGTCTCAAAGGCTATCAATAAGGTGTGGGGTCCAGTTTCGCCCTTGCATTGACATTCACAAGGTTCATTCTGATGTCTTGTACTTTTCTAGTTTTTCTTTCGTGGAGTTAACAAGATATCTGTGTGTAAGTTGGTATAACATAAGATACAAAAGTTGTTAATTTGTTTATTTATTTTGCAAGAATGAATTGTATGCAACTTGATCAAAAAGGGCAGTATGATGTTTTTCTTGTTAAAGATTTGAATAATGAAATAGTTGGGAAGAGCTTGCTCAAACCCATCAGAGTGTAGGAACAAGGTTCAAGTCTACCTTGAAAATCCCAGTGCTTTACGGTCTCTGTGTCTTACATGAAGGAGGAGATATTAGAAGTACTTTAACAGTTTAACTATATCATATAAAAAGTTGACTAAGCATGTTTGGGCAGTATATATAAACGGTTTAAATTAAAAGTATGTCATTCTAGCTCACTATTTAAAGCATGTTTGGAAAATTGGTTGAAATGAGTGATGGATAAGTCGGTAGTAATTGTGATAAAATGTGTGGATAAAAGTGTTGACCGACTAAAAACAGTTTATAAACATAAGCCATACATGCATGTTACCGACTGGGATTTGGTTAAAATCATCAACCAAATAAGTTTGCTTGAAATAGATTAAGTAATTTCACTCGCTGTGCTTGATATGCTACAATTACACAATTGATGCTACAATTACACAATTGATACCATGCTTCCTAATGGAGGAAGAAATTCTCTATTATTTTTACTAGCGGTGTATTATATCAAAGACAAACAGAAGAAACTTTGACCATAAGATAAAGAAGTTCTAGTTATGGATGGATACAATGACATCTTTCTAACATATTGCAGGGGAAGGTGAAGCAAATTGTTGGATCTACTCTTAAAGATTCCAAAGAGGGAGATTCAAGTCTAATAACTAATTATGAATCGGATAGATCGGCTGCTGAATATGCAAAACTTTATAAGCATGATCGGCTTACTGGTGGTCATATAATCATGCTTGGAGCTGATCCTTTGAGCAAATCAGCAGCCATTGAAGCATTACATGCCTATCCTGGTAAGTCTGGATGGGAGGTCATATCTTCCGATGCATACTATTTTGTTATGCATTGGCATGTTTATTATGTCAAAATGCTTTACAAATACAGTCCCTCTACAAAAAAGTGTAGAAATTCCAAGATTATGGGATAATTAGGAATTGATTGTGTATGATTGTATAACCCTATTTGGATTAGGTAATTTTTCTCTTTTCCATGTATAGGAAGTTACCTTGTTGGTCCCTCTTCCTATGCTATATATTGAGGCTCTAAGATTGTAATTAGACGTGTGAAAGTATTGTAAAAATCACATATCCTTTCATTACAATTTACATGGTATCAGAGCTCGGGTCTGTCCTTACCTAACCACGCAGTCAATGGAAGAAAACACCGCCAACAGCACGGAGTCGACAACCTCAGAATCACGAAACAGTGAAATTGAATCCCTTTCCACATTGGGCTCCAGTGGACTCGACAATTCCTCCTTTCAATTTACAGTCGAAAAGTTGAACGGAAAAAATTATCGAGAATGGGCTCAGTTAATAAAACTCATTATCGAAGGAAAAGGAAAGCTAGGTTACCTTACTGGAGAAAAGAAAAAGCCCGCCTCAATCGACGTCGGACTTCTACAAAAATGGAGGTCGGAAAACTTAATGGTGACTACGTGGCTAGTTAATTCCATGAAACCTCCGATTGGAAAGAGTTACTTGTTTCTACCAACAGCAAAGGATGTTTGGGATGCTGTTAACGACATGTATTCAGACGTTGAAAATTCTTCACAAATCTTTAAGATCAAAACAAAACTCTGGCAGATGAAGCAAAGGGAGAGAGATGTGACAGACTACTACCTGGAGATATCTTCACTCTGGCAGGAACTCGATCAGAATGTTGACGAAGAATGGGACTGTCCGGCCGACAGTGTACGATACAGAAAGAAGGTCGAAAACGAACTGGTATACGAGTTCCTGGCTGGGCTTAATAGAGAATTAGATGATGTGAGAGGAAGAGTCCTTGGTCGGCGACCCCTATTGTCACTTCGTGAAGCTTTCGCTGAGGTTCGCAAAGAAGAAAACCGGCGAGGAGTGATGCTTCGAGAAGGTAAAAACACCAGGCTTGAAGAGGAAACTAGTTCTGAGTTATTATCAAAGGAACGTGGGCTTGGTGGGTCGACCGAATTAACTAAAAGGTTTGGTTCAGCCCAATTGCCTGGAGAGCTAGCATTAAATGGAGTTAAAGGACTTGATTATCAAATTGGGCCTAATTTCCAAAGGAACACCCACTAATGGGTTCAGCCCAAAACAGCAGAGGCGACGTGCTTGGTGTGATCAATGTCGTAAACCGGGGTATAAAGCAGATACATGTTGGGAACTACACGGAAAATCAGTTGACTGGAAACCAAGACAAATTAACAGAAATTGGGGTTACCAAGTGGTTGTTGATCCTATTGAAGAAAAGAGTACCTCTACTCTGAACGGTGCATTCAATCCTGAACAATTGGGGCAACTATATAAAATGTGTTCAAGTTTCCAATCATCGGGTTCGTCAAGTTCACTAGCTCACAAAGGTAATCCTTCGAAAGCATTACATACAACTACTCAATCCATAGTTTCTTAGATTATTGACTCAGGTGCGTCCGATCATATGACGGGCTCCTTCCACGTTTTTTTTCCAAATATTCCACTTCTGCTGGCAATATCAAGGTTAAAATCGCAGACGACTCACTTTCACCTGTAGCAGGAAAAGGGAGTATTCGAATCTCTAATTTTATAGCATTGGAGTCCGTTCTCTACGTTCCAAACCTATCTTGTAATTTATTGTCAGTTAGCCAATTAACGAAAAATTCCAATTGCTCAGCTAAATTTTTCCCGTCTTATTGCATTTTTCAGGACCTATCATCGGGGAAGACGATTGGCAGTGCTAAAGAATGTGGGGGACTTTACTACTTTGAGAAAGCAGATGTGAGTAAGCATATCAAATTGCAAATTGTGATTCTGCTTTTGTTCCTAGAGATAGTGAACTTTTGTTATGATATTTTAGAATGGGTCATTCCAATTTTCAGTATTTACGTCATGTATTTCCTTCCATGTTTTCTAATAAAAAGACATTTGATATCCAATGTGAACATTGTGAACTGGACAAACATCATCGTACCTTCTTTCCAAAATCTACATACAAATCTTCGAAACCATTCACCTTAATTCACAGTGATTTATAGGGTCCTTCACGAACTCCGAATCAAACGCACAAAAAATGGTTTATAACAATTGTAGATGATCATACTAGAATATGTTGGGTCTATCTCCTAAATTTTCGTTCAATGATTCAAACAAAATTTCAAATACAAATTCAAATATTGCGTACTGACAATGGTACGGAATATTTCAATACCACATTGAAAGAGTATCTCCAAAAACAAGGAATAATTCTTCAAAGTTCATGTGTTGATACTCCACAACAAAATGACATTGCTGAGCGAAAAATTAAACACCTCCTTGAGGTAGCTCGTGCATTAATGTTCACCACAAATATGTCAAAATTTTTTTGGAGACATGCCATTTTAACCTTGGCCTATCTCATCAATGGAATGCCCAGTCGCACTCTCTCCTTCAAATCACCACTCCAAGTATTTCAGGAATTCTTCCCCAATTCCCGACTTGATTCGAGCTTACCACTCTGAATATTCGGTTGTACTGCTTTCGTCCACATACATCCTCATCACAGAAGTAAACTCGATCCTCGTGCACTTAAATGCGTACTCATTAGATATTCATCTACCCAAAAGGGCTACAAATGCTATGATCCATTCACAAAATGAGTATTTGTTAGCATTGATGTCATGTTTCTCAAAAGAACCCCTTATTATAAAAAACCCTCTCTTCAGGGGGAGAATTTGATTGAAGATCGGTTCTCACATCAAGATCGATTCTTCAACTTTAATCTTTCCCCTAGTGAACCTATCATAAACACCGAATCAATCACTCTTCTTGATCGTAACGTGCCATCTACAGATGTAAACTTAAACTCAGGAGGAGATGTTGAAAATCAAGTTAGCAAGGAGATATTAGTTTACTCAAGAAAGTCGAAATCAATGTATAAGGAGAACCTCACATCTGAAACACCAAAAAAGTCCGAACCGATGATAGCTCCAGAAAGTGATCTACCTATTGCCCTAAAAAAAACCTCGGTCATGTACTCTCTACCCTATCTCAAAATTTGTTTCATATAACACTATCTGCAGGATTTCGCACTTTCTCTTATAACCTTGATAATATAGAAATTCCAAAGAATATTCAGGAGGCCATGGCTATGGCTACTCCCAAATGGAGAGAAACAGTTTTGGAAGAAATGCGAGCATCGGAAAAAAAAAAAAAAACTTGCGATGTGGTAAATTTACCAAGGGAGAAAAGACCCGTCGAGTGCAAATGGGTCTTTAATGTGAAGTACAAATCTGATGGGACAATAGAACGGTACAAAACTCGTCTTGTTGCAAAAGGATATATACAGACCTACGGTATTGACTACACAGAAACATTCGTCCCTGTAGCAAAATTGAATACAATGCGAGTTGTCTTGTCCTTAGCAGCAAATTTGGATTGGCCCCTCCAACAGCTAGACATCAAGAATGCCTTATTGAATGGAGAATTAGAAGAAGAGGTTTTTATGAAATTAACCCCAGACTTTTATGAAAGCGAGGAAGAAAATAAGGTATGTGGGCTCAAAAAATCCTTGTACGGTCTCAAATAATCATCAAGAGCATGGTTCGACAGATTTGTAAAAGTATTGAGAAGTCAAGGATATCAACAAGGGCAGTGAGACCATACAATGTTCTAACAATTATCTGAAACAGAGATGAAAACGATCTTAATTGTTTACGTTGATGACATTATTCTGATTGGAGATAATATAGTGGAAATAGAAAAGCTTAAGAAGAGCCTAGCCACGGAGTTCGAAGTAAAAGACTTGGGACAGATGAAATATTTTTTAGGTATGGAGGTTGCCAAATCAAAGAAAGACATAAGTGTTTTACAACGAAAGTACATTCTTGACCTTTTAAGGGAAACTGGCATGTTTGGATGCAAACCAAGTGACACACCAATAGAGGCAGGAAGAAAGGAAGAAAACATAGGAGAATCAGTTGAAAAGGACAGATATCAGCGATTAGTTGGTAAACTAATTTATCTCTCACACACTAGACCTGATATTGCATTTGCAGTTAGCGTGGTTAGCCAACATATGCACGCTCCAAAAGAAGTCCATTTAGAAGCAGTATACAAAATTCTCAGATATCTTAAAGGTACACCTGGAAAAGGACTTTTCTTTAAGAAAAATGAAAGGAAAGAAGTAGAAATCTTTACTAATGCAGATTGGGCTGGTTCAATAGAAGATAGAAGATCAACTACAGGCTATTGCACCTTTGTATGGGGAAATTTGATAACTTGGAAAAGTAAGAAGCAAAATGTGGTAGCCAGAAGCAGTGTTGAAGCCGAGTTTAGAGCTGTCGTACAAGGAATATGCGAAGGACTGTGGATAAAAAAGTTATTGGAAGAATTACAGACGATGGTAAAATTTCCAATAAAACTCTATTGTGACAATAAAGCAGCTATCAACATCTCCCTCAATCCAATTCAACAGATTAGAACCAAACATGTGGAAGTGGATAGACACTTTATCAAAGAAATGTTGAAGAAGGAACTGTATGCATGACCTATGTGCCTATGCGAAAACAAATCGCAGATATCTTCACCAAAAGATTGCCACAACGGAATTTTGAAGACTTTATTTGCAAGTTGGATATGATCAACATTTACGATCCAACTTGAGGAGGGGTGTAGATATTCCGAGATTATGGGATAATTAGGAATTGATTGTGTATGATTGTATAACCTTATTTAGATTAGGTAATTTTTCTCTTTTCCATGCATAGGAAGTTACCTTGTTGGTCCCTCTTCCTATGCTATATATTGAGGCTCTAAGATTGTAATTAGACGTGTGAAAGTAGTGTAAAAATCATATATCCTTTCATTCCAATTTACCAAAAGCAAAAGGAAACATGGTTTAAAAATCATTTTATTTTTATTTTTGTTAATAATCTTAAGGTGCATTTGAGCTATGAGATATATTCTGCAGGGCAAACTCTGTATATTGTTTAAACATTTATTACAAGTATGTTAGACTTGCATAGCACAAGATTTTAAAATTAATGTCTTCACTTGACCTTTGCTGTATTTTCAGAGATTTCCCGAATGGCGCGTGTATTTTTAATCCTTCTTATATGCATATGTTACATGTTGATTTCTATATGGCAATATTGATATTACTGGGTCTTCTTCTGATCTTCTTGATATTTTTAATTAATAAAGTGGATTTTCTGTTTTTGAGTTCTATCCTACTAATTATAGTAGGACTATTTTTTAGAAGGCAAAAAAAAAAAAAAAAAAAAAAAAAAAAAAAAAAAAAAAAAAAAAAAAAAATACGAAGTAGAAGAAAACAATTTGCACAGAACTTGTTTAGGTAATCCTTTTTAATCAAGATCTGAACTGCATCTGTCTTTTTGTTTGTGGAACATGTTACATTCTCATTGCTGAAAAGCTACTTTCAGTTAGGATTTTGATGCCTTTAAATTTGTCTCGATAACATCACAATTAGATTTCACTAGCTTTGCTATGTTGGTTATAGGAATTGTTTCTTATCAGCTTCCGTATTTCTTCAGATCAATTCTTGCGGGCAAATGGGAGCCCTTAGTACTCCAAAATGCACATTTTACTGAAACATTTTTTGCGATCATTTTTCTTTGAGGGATGAATCCGATTCCATGAACAAAGCTAACTGCTCACTTTTATATTCTAGCCAAAGAGCTCCTCTCTCAGGCACTACTTAAAAATGCTCTTGTAATCATTTTCTTCGAGGGCTCAATGGCATTGGACACTGTAAACAGAACTCACTGCTCATTTATATCCTCAACGAAGTGCTCTATGCTGGGGTTCTAAATTCAAAGCCTTATCGGCTGAGGTTGAACTGGAATAACTGATGTCCATGTTACGCTTCAGGAACAGAATTGATCCGTACACTTTCATGTTAAATACATTAGATTTGAGTTCAAAATGCTTTGTTTCAAAAATATTTAATTGCACCTAGAGTTTATAATATTACCATGATCCTTGGCTTTTTGAGTTTTTAAAATAGCTGATATTGTAAAGGATTTTAGTGTATTTATCATCTATATTGTACCTTTACTAAACTTATTGCCATGATGTAAACATCTAGGTGGATTGCAAGTTGGAGGTGGTATCAATTCAAGCAATGCTTTGAGCTACATAGACGAAGGAGCAAGCCATGTCATTGTGACATCAGTATGTTCTTATTGAAACTTTTTTCCTTGAACAAATAATAGTTGTTAGCCATTTCACTTGCTTTCATATTTCCAACAGTAAAAAGATTTCTCACGTTTTCCCCCTCCCAAATGTCTCCACGTGTATAACTAGCACATATGAATTGTTGGAGTGAATACTAATGAAGCCATTGATGTTGTTGGACTTCTATTCATGCACCCTAGGACCATATAGTGAGTTCTACAATGAGAGATAGAATCAACTAAGTGACCAGTGTCAGGAGTACCTAAATCCTACAAACTTGTAGCATAAAGCTAATTGATGGATGTTTGTTAACCATATTTTGAACACATATACTGTGACAGATCACTCTCTTTTCATCATTACTGAGCCAATGTCAGGTTGGAAGAGGTAGAATATTTTTGCTTGCATCACTATAGGAATGGCAATGGGTCGAACCGGCTTGGCTCGGCCCTTTAACCCACGAGCTCGGCTCGCCACGTTGCTCGGGGGCAAGCTCGTGATTTTTTTAATTTTTTGGGTAAATTTGCACATTTTTTCACCTTTTTTTTTTTTTATAGCAAATTTGCATATTTTTTGACGAGTGGCTCGTGGGCTCGTAAAAAATGGCTCATGGGCACACGGCCCACAAGCCGCTCGGGGGATTGAGCCCCCTGCCCGAGCCGCCCACGAGCTGAGCCGACGTGCCACTCGGTTCGTTTGACATCCCTACATCACTATGATGGATAACTCTATTAACCCATCTTAATGCTAGACTGGATACCAGAGGTTGATGCTCGTGGTACCAAGCTAAACAAGTCAAAGCTATTTGAAGTGGGAGAATGATCTTTAGGAAGTACATAGGTAAAAAAAAGGGAAGATATGACCACGTTTTGACATATAAGTGAAAAAAAATAAAAAATCATGTGAAACTGTGGAAAGCCAAAAATTCTTCTAATTGGAATACTTTGAACTCAAAACTTCTTGATTGCTTTTCAGTATGTGTTCAGTAATGGAGAAATAAACTTCGAACGGCTTCAGGAACTTGCTCATGTTGTCGGAAAACAGAGACTCGTGCTGGATCTTAGTTGCAGAAATAAGGTATGCTTTCTTGTGAATATAATAATTATGATCGATTCAAAGGCTTTCTGAACTATCTTCTCCCTCACTCTCTCTTCCTTTTTTCTGTTTAAGATGATGCATATTTTGTTAACCTGTTTGTAGGTAGGTTGGCTGGAGCATCAATAACTGCCTCATTTTAGCAAATCTAGGATAATTTCATACAAAGTAACCCATATGGACATTTATCATTGAGACTAAATTTTGCCTGTAATTCTAAAACAAAATTGATTGATGAGGTATAACTGTAAAACAAATATCAGCACTCAGAATTATATCAAATAATAGGGCAGCCGTTGTATGTACAGGGAAAATGTCGCAGGCAATCCCCATGTTAGTATAGACAATGTATCTCAATCAATCGACTATGGCATTTGTGACTTGAGATGATGTTTGCAGGAAGATAAATATGCAATCGTCACAGACAGATGGCAAAAGTTCAGCGATGTATATCTCGATGAAAAAGTATTGGCTTTTCTTGCCAAATTTGCTGATGAGTTTCTTGTCCATGGAGTTGATGTTGAAGGCAAAAAGTATGTTTTCAACTACTTGATATAAAAGAAAAAATAGCAAATTTTTTAAGTAATCTCGTTCTTCATATCCCCATGTACAATTGCAACATCATTTCGTAACTGTTTTGTTCACTGATGCTTTCACCTTTCCGGTATTATGGAAGTCAATTATGATCACTCTGACACTGAATACCAATTAATAACTTCGGTATTGCAGGTTGGGAATTGATGAAGAGCTTGTGGCGTTGCTTGGCAGGCACTCACCAGTATGTGTGATATATATATAATTTATTATCAATCCTGTATCTTTTGTACTCTGCTTGTCAGAAATATCTTGTTCATGCCAAATACACTGTGAGACATAAATTTCCTCCCCTTTTGTTGTAGCCCACCTCCCCACACGCGCACACAGGGACTATAATTTTCCATAATATTTGAAGTGGCTAGTTTATGGAGAAGTCAATAGTTATGATTGTGTAATGTGCAGATTCTTGAGTTGAATTCTAATTTATTATGGCTTTTTGCCAAATGAAAATTACCAGTGGACTAAAGAAAATTTAGCCATTAAGTGAGACCTTAACTTGCCATGGACCAATGCCTTGAATACAGATTTGCATTCTTTCACAAGTCATTTAGTCTGGTTATATGCATCAGTTCACTGCCATATAGTATAGCCAACTAATTTTTTACTCTTTTAATGCGATTTATGTAACAACTAACAGTGCAATTGTTTAATTTTCCGTGTTTGCTAGATTCCGGTGACCTATGCAGGCGGTGTCACTGTCATCGCTGATTTAGAGAAGATCAAAGTTGCAGGAATGGAACGCGTTAATGTCACTGTGGGTAGTGCTTTGGATATTTTTGGAGGAAACTTGGCATATGAAGATGTTGTGGCTTGGCATTCTCAGCAAGAGGCTTTTGCAGTTTGATTTTTTAGTTGCTGTGTGTAAATGCTAACATGTAGATGTATGATTATATTTTTGAAGAAACATTAATTTTGCCTTGGAATATTGATATTAAACTATGCTCCCTGTTCTGGCTTGAATTTATTGAATAATCAAACATACTGCTGATTCTTGACTTTTAAAGTGGATCCTATCTTTTGAAATATTTTTAAGAGGATGAATTTTATTTGCAGTAGTTATACTTTAGTGTCAATTTGATAATTGTACTTCAATTTCGTTCAATTGGGTATCTATAATTTTATTTCGATCGATTAGCTCCATCAAATTCCATCTCTTTAATGGATGAGAATTCATGACGTGACAATCACCATTCATCTAACTGAAATTATATTAATTTTATATTAGCAATTAATGATCTCGTGAGATGATAATATGGATAGTGGATTGCTCAAAGTTAAAATATATTTTTCTGACTTTAACCATGTAAATGTGTAATTATTCGATTAAACAAAAAATAAAATATAATTATCACAATTAAAATTTACCCATTTATGGGTAAAGATTTTTCATTTCTTACATATAGAATCAAATCATTATTGACTAGAAATGATCTTCCGTTCGCAGTGTGCATGAAATATAATGTTCAACAGTTTGGTGGGGACGTAGTTTAAATCTTTTTCTTTTGAAAAGTCAAAAAAGAAAAAAATGGAAAATGGATTTAACCGCTAATCATCGTCTACTGCTTCTATGTGTGGTGAAACAACGAATTTGGATTGAATTATATCAAATTAGAATACAATTTCTCAATTCAAATGTCACAAGTTCACCATAATCTCAAGAAGTACCAGAATACAACCGTTTGCATAATTGCATTTATTCAAAATTTCTTCATAATTCTACAATTCATACGGTCGTCACTTTAATTGCTAATTTAAATCAATTAGTTCACTTGCACTCATTAAACAGAGTTCGAGGGGATTCTCTATGTACAAAATGCTGTGTTTAGGTACGGGTGAAGCCGTGAAGGTGGCGTTCTATTGCATCTATGGCGACCCTCAAGAGGTAGACTGTGGGATGCTTGTACGGACGAATTCTATCATTTCTATCCGAGCTTTGTAAGATCACGTCTGAATCTGATGGATTACTCAAACTCGTCCAATTTCAGAAAGGAAGCGTACATCTGATTTCAGGAATGTTGGTAGGTGTTTAGTATTTGCACTTGTTTGTTTTTCTGTTCTAGTTAATCCATAAAATTTTGTGGATCATTGATCAAATTGTTATCTATTTCAAGTGCTTAATTGGATGCCTATGACGTACCTGGTGATATAGAAGTTAAATGGAGCTCCACTAATCCAGTCAAAGTTTAAGCATCAAAACACACAGATTATCTTCTTTGCTTGTGAATGTGGGCGACAATGCAGTGATAATTGTATGTTTTGAGTTTATGGTGGTTTTAGATGGGAAGAAGCTTTTCATCAGTTCACTAAATAGTCTTCGAGTAACCAAAGCAATTGATAACATATAAGTTTGTCTTACTTGAAGTTCGTTGATATTTTGAAGTTTACATAAAAATGAAAAGGAACGTAGGAACAAAGGAAATCCAAAAGATGAGCTAATTTTGTCCAATCATGTTAATTGATTTCTAATTTCATTGTCTGGTTACCAGAAATAAAATCCAACTAATACAGCAAAATGTTAGTGAGGAGTCATATCGTGACAAAGGTCAACTACCACTTGCTATCAACCTGTTGCAGCCCTTGTCTCATGTCTAGGCTTGAGACCAACTATGTAAATATGTAGGAGTTTAACACACAGAATTGCAGAGATATATTTGAAGTCATATATTGCTGTCGACCATCAACTTAATATTAGATTCGAAATTTAAGCACGAACAACTCATGATGTTACAATGCTCTAAATTTAAATGTGGCAGACCCTTAATTATCTCAATGATTTTATCTTCCCTAACCAAATGAGAGAATTCAGTTTCTGAAATTGAATTTAAACTTTCTTCCTTGATGCAAAATACCAACATCTCTGAAAATATTTTCCTCTCAGCCCCAGCCGAAGCTATTTAAATCAAATTTCTTGCAACTTGAAGCAGCATCATTTTTGTCATCTATGTTTAGATCCAGTTCTGTTGTAAAGTATGGTAGTTTAGACCCTGGCGTCGTCTTCTGATTCTCTGTTTTATGAGCATCTCGGTCAAAATATTTAGCATCTGCATCTGCATCAGCTTCAGCTTCTTTAAATCTGTCCTCTGAACAGCTGCTGCTGCCATTCCATGGTCCTCCCTGAGGTCCAATGGCCATTGATAAATTTCTGGAGTTTTCTTCTAGAGCAAATGCTTTTTCCACGTTGTCATTTGTTGCGCAAAGAAATCTGGTGCTCTCTTTCTGGTTTTCACACAGCCTTAGTTCAGTCTTCTGCTGCCTGAGTCCATTGTCATGATTCCTTGGTTCTATAGCTTCTCTAAAATTCAAAATTTTCGATCCGACTTGGTTATTGTACAATTCTTGGTCCTTGAGAGAGCCTTCACAGGAGGTTAAGCAGCTGTCTGTTGAACAATCCGTTGGCTGAGTTGTTTTTATTTGCTGTAGGCACAAATCCGACAGTTCTTTCATCCCTGAAAATGCAGAATTCAGGCATTGGGTGGATACTTTAGACACCAAATCAGATAACTGAACCTTGGCTGCCTCCAAACCAGTTGTCCCTAAATTCTGTGTTGCAAGGGTTTCCTCTGCTTTCTCTAGTACCGATTGTAAATATTTACCTTGGGCCTCGATCCGTAGCTGTAAATGGCGCTGTACCTACACATACAGAGTAGACCTGTTTTCAATGATGCATAAAAAGAATATGCACTTTGCTTTGCTTTTAACTGTTTACATATTCAACATTTAATTGTTGAAAATATGAAGAAATTTGGACTACTGTTATTTATTTTGGAAGGTTGCATTTCAATAAGAGATCAAACTTGTAATAACGATCCTACACGTGCAAAAATATTTGCCTCGTGAGTTGAATTTGGCCTGTTTTCATGGTAGATCTTTCAAAGGTCTGATGACAACTTTTTTCAGATTTCGGAGGGTTTTGAAGATTTCAAATTTTATTTTGTTTCATTAAATAAAAGTATGTATTCGCTTGTGTAGTGTTTTTTACCTCCAGCTGCTCATGTAGCCTTCTTTGCACTTCAATTTGCATTTCTATTGCTTCACTCAAGTGTAAATTTCTGAATATAAGATATTACAATACAATGGTGTTAATTTAATTATTTATTAGATCAATACTGTAAATCAACATAGGAAGAACGTGTGATATACTTTTTAATTCTTACTTATTTGTCTGGGGTGCCATGCTTGGATTACTCATGTGAGTTCCATTTGTCTCCGATATTCTTTCTCCTGTAGCTGTAAACATTTTCGAACTTAATAAACATATTTACTCATGAACTGGTATAGTTTGTAAAACTATGTTACTGGAAATCACTGGATTTCTTACCTGCTTTGTTGCTCCCACTGTTAGCTTGTCCATGGAGGTTCTTGCTGAGCCTGTACTTCTGCCAGCAAAAATGGAAAGGTTTGGACTACATTTTATCTCCAGATACAAAGTGATGCACATATGCATTGAGGTGGCTTCCATTTGATTCATTTCTATGAATGACTGTGAAGCAATTAGATTTAGATTCATAGAAACTTCAACATGTCGTGTTAGTTTTGGTCCACTCCTAACTTTTTCAACTGAGATCAAATCACTTCTAACCACCTAACTCGTCCTTCCCTTGTTTTATCCGGATCAGATGCTACCTTTACTTACTGCCGCATATTTTCATTTTTCATTATTGAGTCTTTTATGGTCCCACAGTATCTTAGCATTTTCATTTCCGCCACATTCAACTCATGGACATCTTGTCCTTTAACACCTGATATTCGGTGCTAAACAAGATGTCACAGTTTCATGTTGATTGTTAATCTGCAACAACCTTTTCCCTCTATTTGGGCTTGGGATCTTCTATGAAAACCCCTTGAAACTGCTAATAAAATATCTAGAAAATGCTATATAAACTGTGAATAAATTTTTTGATTAGTTTATTACTGCATTTTTTAGATTACATTGTTTCAGCATTCTCAATGGTTTTCCTGGAGTGAAAAGTAGGGATAAACGACGTCATAAAAGAACTTGACTGCTTCTTTGAAATGGTTATAAGTTGCCCGAGACCATGAGTTGCTTAAGCTTAAATATGGTAAAACTGAAAGTCTTATTTTCTCTTGTGCAGAACTCTAGTATTGGTTTTTGCAATTAACAATTTACCTGAAGGTGACTCTTTAAGTGGTACAAGGTTAAACCTTGAATCGCCATAAGTTTCAGCACTGATTTTGGAGTAGCTTCTGCAACAAAGGAATTGTTTTAGTTAGCTAAATACAGTAGTAGATTACTATATTGGTGCTTCATGAACATGATATGAGGCATTCACTTACTGTCTGCTCCACCTAGTTGATTAACTGCTTCTATGAAACGCCTATGGAGATCTGGAGTCCATTTTAGTCTTGGCTTAGCATCAGTGGAAAGTACAAGTCCTGAATCTCCGGTTCCATTTGCACCTTGAAGGAATAAGTGCCTATCAGAAGGAATGGACATTCTTGATATAGGATGCATGCTCTGTCCTTGGTGGTGATGACAATACATGTAATTGTCTTCAATAAGATGACTTGAAATAAGTGAGATTCGTGTTATGGGTAAAAGGAAATGATTGACATGGAGCTATCCTGAAGAGATCTAATGTGCCTGTTCCAATCTGCAATCACCCTTGAATGTGAAATACAATTTTGATATATTCCGTGTAGCACACTCTTGCATTCCTGATACTTGGTGAAAGAAAACTGTCTACTAATGCTTTTATCTACTTCTTGTTTTCTTTGGCCAATCTTTATTTACTAAAGCTGTGCTTGGGGATGTTTTATAAGCAAATAAGGAGAGGTGGGGTACATTGGAAGCATAGAATCTTGAACAGGGCCATCAGAACATCAAATCCAATTAAATTATCATTTGAAATGAACGGAGATCTTGTCCTTCCAGTTTTACACGTACATGGGGTCCTCTTATGCAACTTCCCTTTCCATTCTTAGAAAGCAGCACTAGCCATTAAAATTCCTCCGGACTATGACTTCTTGAAAAAACTTGACACCTTAGGTTTCATATAAGAATAGATCCACTTTAGACTTTATTTCTCCTGGCATTCATATCCATCATCAGGAAAAGTTTAGGAACCTTATTCCCTGAGTTAATGGTGGAATTTTATTCCAAGTTGGATTGGAGGAATCCACTATCTATAATGTCCTAAAATCTCGAAAGCTATTTTTTCCCCGAGGAAGATCCTGTTGACTGGAGCATCTATACACCATGCATGCATGGCAAGAAAGGTGGGAAATTGGTGAACATTCACTTCTCCTTGGGAGAGTTAGAAGGCCAGGTTTAGTTTATATGTGCACTTCCTTTTTCTTTTTTCCAATTTCATTTGGTTTATTTACAGTTTCAGTGTGTAATGAATCTAATGATCAAGTAAGGTGCAATGCCTTTATTGTCCTTGCACTTGATCTGGTGTTTGGCTTGTAGCAAGAAGATATGCCAGCTATTTGGAGTGCATAGACTTGCCTCCAATTTTTCCATACTATCTTTTTTCTTTTATTTTTTTCATCTTTTCATAGTTATACACAAACAAAAGTGGGACGGGTCCTTTTTGATACAGGGTGAAGATTCTTTTAGGTGGTGTTAGAATTTATTCAAGGAAAGAGGACACCTACAGTGGCTTCAGTTCTTTCTGCAGTATTTCAGCTTCACATGCTGTGCATCGCTACACATACCTATTTTATCTTCGAGGCATGATAAGTAGACTTCTGCATATTTTTGGGCAAAATTTATTATTTATATTTTAATATATCTTGTTAGAAAGAAATTTGAGCATTGTTAAATACGTAACATGTCGAGTGACCGATAAAAAGGGGAAGAATTGTTACTCCTTAGCTTTGTTTAATGTCCTGGAGTGGCATAATGAATATATTCCTTTTTGTTTCCTTCAAAAAGTTTAGTACTTATTCTGCGAAATATTAAAGAGGAGAGAAGTCCCAATCAGATCTTTTAAATTCTTCAAATGGCATAAAGAAGTTGGTATGCAATTCCTTGGGACCCCTTCAGAGAGAAAATAAATGATCGTACTTGCTCTGTGCTTTCGTATGATAAACACATGTGAAGTCAGGACTAGATGACCACTTGCTTTCCCCTTGACTTGAGCTTAAATGGCTTCGAAGATACTTGGACATGAATCTACTAATTTTTCTCACTCTGCATGATTATGTTTTCTAATCTTTGGGGTTAATGGATTTTATCAACATGGATGTATTATGACATACATTGAGTTGCTTCTTAGATCATTGTCATTATGAATATGGATTAAAGGATTTTATCAACACAAGTGTATGTATGACATACGTTTGGTTGCTTAAATTATTGTCTTCACTGATAGGGTGTGACCAGCATTTACATTACATTGCATAAAAACTATATGACTTTTAAATTAACTTATTGGTCCTATTCTTTTACGTGCATAATTATATTTACCTATTGCTAGAAACTTATGAAATGTGTTCATCATTCACACAGCATACTCCTACGTTGAATTCATCATGTTATCTTTCATTCCATAGCCATGATCGACGTACCAAATCTATAACCATGTTGCACTATGTATCTTATTTCATGTCTTAAATTGAGAATTAATCTTCTATGCATGTATATAGTAAAATACTCAACATGATCAACTACTGAAGGAGAATAACCTCACCTCAACCAATATTCGGGTTTTCCTACTCATTACTAATACTCTACAATGGATGACAAGATTTATCATTTCTGTCCTACATTATCTCTGATCTGATGAAAGAAAATTCTTCTCTTCCCTTGAAGGCCTGAACAATGTCTGTGCATTAGCTCCTTTAAGCTTTTGAGGAAAGAGTATTTGATTCGGATTTGTGAGGATATTTTATGCAATTTGGAGGAATCTCTGAAACCTTTATGCAAAGTGTTAAAAAGCAGAATTCTTCAATAGCTTGATAGCAAATGGATAGGATATTAGGATTGAATTGCAGATGGGAAATGTTATGACGCTTCTCAACCGGCATCATCAAATGGTCATGATGAGACTAGCTAGTACATACATTATATCATCTGTAAGTATATTAAGGATCCGGTATGAATTTTTAAGTTTCTTCTGGAGCTCTGTTTGCACAAACGAACATAATTGTATACTGGACATAGATAAATATGGAAAGTCTTGTGCATATCACTAAAACTCTCATTTTGGTTTCTTTGTTGAAACTTTTCCAAAATCAATGAGTTTTAGTTCAAGAGTAAATACATTATATATTTGTCTTATATTAAAGATAAGACAGGTATAAAATTAATTAGTTAACCAAAGTTGGAAAATGGAGAGTTGGAAAAAAAAGTAATTGAACTTCATAGACATTTTGTCTTACTAAGGTATGAAAATCACTTGCAGCTTGCTCACTTATGTAAGGATAATGGAAAGCACTGTTTGAGCTTATACGCCTGTGTGCAACCTGGTCTATATGGTGCCAGTGAGGCATTGATGGTGTATAAGCACTCGACGAGCTTGTATCTTCAAAAATCTGGCCTGTCAATTTTATTTACATTATACTAGAGATTTAGTGGTCCAGCTCTAATCTGATTAATCACTTGACACTTTAAGATCATATAGCTGAAAATGAGGGTTCATCAAGTCAAAAATTAAAATATAACTTGCTACAGTCAAAAAAATTAGAATTGTTAGATCTTCAGGCCAAATGATTGAAGTTCCGTTTGGATTACAATTTATAAATTGGTCATAACTACCCACACATTTTGTGTGATCCAATACTATTTCTCTTTATATATTGATTTATATATATCTACCAAACGGAGGCTAAATTGTTTTAAAATTTAAATTCTGGTAGGCTGTAAGAAAAGACACCATCAAGTCTGTATATTTCAAGAAGTTTTCCATGATTTAAAACACCCTTAAGATCTTTTAGTTCCTGTTTTTCACTCCTAACTACCCACAGGAAAGTAGTTACTTCATAATCTGTTTTTCTATACATTTTTTATTAAGAAGCTCTTATTTTATTTTTGTAATTAAGAGAATGAACGGTAATGTTTGTTGGTCATTTGAGTTGTGGTACGATATTCGATTAACGCCAACTATTTGCTATATTCTTGCACTTTACGGTTACCCTATTATTGCAATTCATAGAGCTTTTGGCTAGTAATGCAGTGTCGTACAATCATACATAGAATGAATATTTTTCAACTTCTATTTCAAGTCTCTTTGCTGGACCCAATAATCTTTCTAGTAATGGTACATTTACAAGTACTTAAGTTTTCTTTCCTTGATGTTGCCATAAAGCCGTACGTTCTTTTCATTGTTTGATTATACGGAATGGCTATTAGCTTTCATCATTGCATTCAAAAGTTTTATTGTATATACATGTTATGTATGTACAATATTCTCCACTTTAGAAGAGAGAACATGGCCTGTCTTCTTTCTTGTACTTAAAAAGTATTGTTCATTATTTTACTCTTTCATCTTTGATAGGATAATTTGCAATTGAAGAATCTGATAGCATTTGAGAATAAATTTGTGTGCAATTCAATCATTAACTAGAACTGGTGTAAAATGTTGATTGGTTGCACCTTGTTGACCCCTCATTGTATTGGCAGAAAAACTAACAAGATTATAATGACAGTGGAATGGTATTTGAAATTGAAAAGGATGTGTTTCTGTGTGTGTGTGTGTGTGTGTGTGTGTGTGTGTGTTGAGAAAAAGTGGGATTCTGAGGAATGGAATATTAGAATCTTACTCAAAAGTAAAGGCTACTGGAAGTATTCTCAAGGCAAGAATTTTGTTATTCTTGTTATTCAAGGCCGCATGAAATGGATTCCCATTTTTCCTTGCATTCTTTATTCTCAAGCATATTACAGTTTAGGATGCCTTTCATCGTGTATAGTCAATTATTTCTCTTCTTAATTAAGTACTGCTATGTTTGCCTATTTTTTGTCCAGTTGTTCCTGACTGTGATAATTTGTATGCCAGAAACTTTTGTGCAACCAGGTTGTTCAGCTTCTGGTGCAATGATTTCCAAAATAGTAAATATTCAATAGATTATCTATGTGATCGAATATTATACAAGTGCTTCTCATAGTGTTCTTGCACTTAATAATTACTATATTCGGTTTCACGGTCAGGGCAACAATGATTTTTGTAACATATATGTTATATTCTTATGAACTTATGCCCTTACACTTAAGTCGAAAAAAAGATTCTCAATAATTAAAGTGCATGTTTGTTGTGTTGAATTGAACATAACTAGAAAGAATGCAATTCACATTGCATGTGCAAATGGCCTATCATCCAGAGATGACATTTTATTTAAAAATAAACATATAGTAACTAGGATATTTGAAATGAATAATGTTATTTATACATCATTGTGTATATAATGATGACATGGAAGAGAGAAAAAAGGGGGAAAAAAGAAAGATGGAAAGAAGAATAATGCTATTTATACATAATGATGACAATTTGATATATAGAGTGATAATATGGTTGATATTAACTGATTTCATTTTATTTCATTCTCTCTCTCTCGCTCTATGACATCATCAATATATAAACTAATATGTACACAATTATTGACAAATAGCATTATTTTGGAAAGAAAAAATATTCAGTCGCTATAACAATTCTGCTACAAGAACAGACTCAATGACATATTTTTATATACAAATACACTTGACAACACTTGGCAATCATCCATTGACAGTTAAAAAAAAAAAATACACCTGTGAATAAAAAATAGTCAAGTCATTCTATCAAGAAATTGCCTGTTCAAACAACATTATTCGTTATTATAATCTCTCTTTCATTTCATATATTTGTACACCATTATATACACAGTGATGTACAAATATCATTGCTCATTTGAATATTGCACATTATTTTCTTATGCATTTATGACCTTCCAATTCTATTATAAATGCATGACTGATGTAGATTTTTTGTAAATAAATTTTATGAAAAGTGATGTTTTGGAAAAATGTGTAATTAAAAAGTTGAGAAAAGTTATGGGTTCACGTGAAAAATTATTTTATTGAGAGAATGTATGTGATTGAAAATGAAATAGATACCAATGCATTTTAAAGAATTTGCATCAAACATGGACTAAACATGATTTGTGAAGCAGATCCAAGTTGCACTTGCAAGTGGTCCATCATGTGGAGATAATATTTTGAATTATTCTAGTTGTACAATCAAGTTTTACAAAACTTGGTTGACAACTAGTGAGGTGTGGGATTCACACCATTGATTAAAAAAACAATTTTTGAAGTATATGGCGTGGATCTCTGTCAATTCATTGATTGTAAATCAAGTTGTTAACTAGGTTGTACACCTAGCATGTTTCTAATATTTTACTTGGAAAGGAATATATATGGAACCTAAGTCTAGATTTTGAAGGGGATATAATTATGTGTTGGTGCAAATGCAAATTGAATTTAAGTGGGAACAAATTTGTTCTTGATGCAATTGAGATCTTTTGTTGGACTCTTGTTTAGTTAATATAATCCAACTTGAATAAAAATCACTGTCCATATTATTGTGCTATCAATGTAAAGTAGTGTCTTAATCAACAAAACGTGGAAAGAAAATGAAAGCCATAAGGCCACTAAATTGCTTATTTTAGAAATTTTTGAAGCATATATTACTAGATGATGG